TTTTTTTTTGCTGTTATGGATGCTTAACTGTTAAATTCGCACCATGAGAAGCTTTGAAGAGAAGTCACTGTCGTGTAAATTTTGACTTATCCAGTTTTGATTTTCTTGGTAAGAATATTTTTGAGGAATGATGTTTGTCAGCAACTGGCTATGATTGATGATTCTCATGTTTTTATATATACTATTTTATGGGTGAGCATTATCCATTTGCCTTGATTGCCGATAACTGTCTATCTTTGCAAATAGGTTGCATAAAATGGTGCTTGCTCCAGTATTAGCTTTATTAGGAGAGTACCTTTGAATTATATTTTTCAGAGGAAATAGCTGATTTCAATCAGCTCAAAAATTTATAAGTTATTCTTTTTTTTTTTTTTTTGCAGGAAGCATCAGATCCGTTTGCCTTGGTTGCTGATGAACTGTCCATCCTTGCAAATAGGTTGCGTAAAATGGTGGTTGCTGAGGTGCACAGTGCTCATGTTTTATCTTGAATCTTATAGTTTATCTTTACTCGATATGTTTAGATTTTAGGCATGCATTATTTTTAATGAACGTAATTCTTTATGCTTTTATCATCTTATTTCTGATTAACTTGCACTAGGTGCCAAAGCTAGCATCAGCTGCAGAATACTTCTTCAAACTGGGTGTTGAAGGAAAAAGATTTCGTCCCACTGTAAGAACCATACCCAATTTTTGTTTGTTTTATAAGACAATATTTTCAACATGAGATGAAAAATATCAAGCTACAGTTGCAAAATGCAATATGTTAACCTCATTCGGATATTAATTTTGTTATTTTTAATTACGTTTTAGCATCTTTATTTTAACTTAAAAAATTTACATCCATTATTAACGCGGCAGAGTCTATGTTTACAGGTCTTATTACTAATGGCATCTGCAATTGACATGCCTGCACATGCCATGGCTGGTCTGTCTACTGATGGAGGCCCTTCTACTATGCCTAGTTCATCAAATGATTTGCGTGCCAGGCAGCAGTGTATTGCAGAAATAACAGAGATGATCCATGTCAGTGATATAGAAAATTGCCTTCTATGATTTTGAATTTTGGTCATTCAATATCTTTATGTTTCTTATTATTTTTACAGAAAATGTAATTTTTGCCATAAAAGGTCACTTTTTGATATCATGTGTGGAACTTTCTTCCTGTTTGTGATCCTAGGGGCATGTCTTTGTATTGAGATGATCCATGTCAATGATTCAAAACATT